ACTAGTCACCTGTACTTCTAAGATGTGCCTATTCATTTTATTATTTATTTGTGTCTATTCATTTTAATTGCCCATTTTTGATTGGGTCTTGAGTATTGTGGGTTCTGATTTTTTTCAAGTTCTTTATGTATTCTAGATATTAGTCTACTATCTGGGGAGTAGCTGGCAAAAAATGTTTTCCATTTGGTTAGTTGTTTTACTGTGCCAAATCTTTTAAATTTGATATCATTTTGTTTGCTGATTCTTGGTGATATTTCTTGTGGAACCGGGTTTCTATTCGCAAAGTCCTTGCCTTTGCCTATGGCTTCAAAGGTTTTAGTCATTTGGGGGCTGGAGGTTTAGCTCAGCCGCATAAGCGCCTGCCTTGCAAGCAGGCAATCATGAGTTCAATCCTGGTACCGAAAAAGACAAAAAAAAAAAAAAAGTTTTAGTCATTTTATCTTCCAGAAGATTGTTTCAGTTTTAGTATGTAAATCTTTTATGTGTTTTGATTTTAGTACATGGTAAGAGACATGGGTCTAGATTCAATCTTTTGTATGTAGATAACCAGTTTTCCCAGCACTATTTGTTAAAAAGGTCACTTTTCTTGATCTATTAAATGTTCAAGATGTACCCTCATCATAAGCCAGAGACCCTTGTGCCTACATACGAGACACACTATCCATGAGGACCGCTTACACATTTCTGGGGCCTAGGGCAAATCAGATTCCTTTACTGGGAGAGTAAACTAGGATCATGTCATTAAAAGAACATGTGAGGGAAATCAAGGGGTGCAGTCCAGGGCCAGTGAGTGGTCCCACCAGGAGAGGGGTAAGGAAAAGGAGAAGAGCCTTTCTGTATATATGTAGCCAGGGAATCTGGAATTCCACTAGCCAGTATGGCCAGGAGGGCGGAGCACTGAATCTGAAATCTGGATACTTAGTTCAAGTCATAATTCCACTACTCTGGGTGAGACACTCTGTAGATGTAATCATTGCATCTGTGACAGATGACACAAAACAGGAGCTCTGTCTGGAGCCCAGGCGGTACACGTACTTGACAAACAGTAAGTGCTTGGTGGATATTAGTAAAGAAATAAATGGATGAATTCTACCATGCTCATATGGTTTCAAGCATGATGCCATGCCCATTGGTAATTTTTGTTTTAAAATTCAGTCTGAAATAACTGGAGACCCATTATACTGGCAGTGCAAGGAGATGGTGGGAGTATTATACCTGCCCTAGAAAGGTAGCTTGCTTACAACATAAGGGAGAAAAAGAGGCTTTCTGCCCATTTTTGGCTCTTTTACTGTCTCCTGCTGTCTTCAACTATTGCCTCTCAGCCATGCCACCCTGCCTTGCAGCCAGCTGATTATAGGCTAAAACCTCCACAAACAGTAAGCTAAATAACTTTCCAACCTTAATTTTGAGTGTTGGGTATTTCGCCTCAGCAATGAAGAAAAGGTAACTAAGTCAGAATTTAATACCAGTGAAGTGGTATCTTTGCTCTCTATACCTGACCATGTGGTTCAAAAGCCTTTAGAAGTGATTGTGGGAAGAATTTGGAAAGATTTGGACATGTTGTCTGAAAAAGCACAGCTGTAATAACTTAGGCTGCTCTATATGGGAGATTCTGATCAGAGCTCAGAAATCTTGCTGGTAAAGACCAGGTTCAGGAGATTTTGGCAGGGAAGAAGGACTGCATTGGCTCTTGGACTTTAGATGATGTGTGTTATAACTTGGCAAAAAGTTTGTCTGCATTTTGTTCATATCCAGAGACTTTGCCTCAGATTAAGATTAAGGGCAGTAGACTAATTAATCTGGCAGAAGAAATTTCAAAGCAGTTGAATGTTGAGATAGTGGCATGTCTATTGTTGGGGCATGTTTGCCAAATTTATGTTGAGAATCAAGAGCAAAGAGCCCAGAAGTATGATTTAAAATGTTGTGAGTTTGGCCACAAAGGAAGGTCCAATAATGCTGTGGACTACAAAGATAGAGCTGAGGAGATCTCAATTGCTGAGAAGGAACAGGAGAATATAAAAGATGGCTTGAAGGCATCACAAAAAGCAGTGTGTCTCAAACTTTTGCAGCCTCAAAACTGCAAAACTAAAAGACTTTGCTTAGAGGAGAAACCCACAGAGCACAATGTTTCAGAGTGGTGGCAATGTAGAGAATTTGTTCCTCAGAACTGGAGTCAGAGTATTGGATGATCCATGTACTCAACCTCTACAGCCAAGGGAGAAAAAGAGGCTGGCCACTGCTCCAGCTGGTAGCGGATCTTGGAAGCATCCATGTGGCACTGGTTTTAGGTGCATGTCAAATGCAAGATTTGTGGGCTTAAGAAGGCTTCCACCCTGATTTCAGGTCTGGGAGACCAGGCAGTGTTCCCTTGAGAGCTGAAGAGTAAGAGGCTGTGAGTGTGAAGCTGAAGGTGCAGTGGAAACCCCAGATGTTTTGAAAAGCCCAGAAATGTGGATTGTCTGAGCAAAGTTGCAAGGAGAGAGCAAAGCAGGCCTAAGAGAGAAGCCATGGGAGCTATAACCACAAGAAATGCCATGAGCATGAAGTCACTCAAGCCCTTTGGAGCTCACAATTTGCCACAGATTGCCTTCAATGTTACATAGGAAACTACAGGACTTAATGTTTGCCCTGCTGAATTTTGGGCTTGCTTTGGCCCCAGTTCTTTGTACTGTCATTTCTAACTTTTGGAATGAAAATGTTTATCTTGTGCCATTGAATGCTGGAAGTGTTTAACTTTGTTTTCATTTGTACAGGGGCTCATAGCTAAGTTTGTCTTACATCTTGGAGGAGACTTGGGACTTGGACTTTTCGGCAACTCTGAAATTGTCAGAATTCTGGCAACCCTTAGAGATGAATTAAATGCATTTTGCATAAAAGGGATAAACATGAGTCTTCAGAGGGCCAGGGTCAGAACGTTATGGTTCTAATGTAATATAATGCCGATAGGCTTAATACTGGTTCTTAAAGATTGTTAAACTTGTTTTATAATGTTTAAGTTGTGAAAAGGTAAGAATAAGCCTGCCTTTGTATCTGGAAACTGGTGTCTGGTTGCCAAATGGACAAGGGGTGGATTGTAATGGTTGATACATTATGTCAACTTGAGAAGTTTACAAGTTTAACTAAGTGATTCAGCAGGGAGCCAGGGTCCTTATTTAGTAAACATCCTGATGCTTAGGGCACAGAGATGATGGAAGTGCTACATCTGCCCTAGGCAGGCAGCCTGCTCACAGTATAAGGGAGGAAAAAGGCTTCTTCCTTCTTTAATTTTGGGGGTCAGGTATTTTGTCTCAGCAATGACAGAAAAGTAACGAAGACACAGTTACTCTTTTAGCTGGACAAAAAAATTTGCTTACTTCAATTATCCCATGAATCCAAATCCTGACAAAGAACACACCAAAATGAACAGCTTCCACACCACTAAACTGATGTGGTCTAATGAAACATTATTTAAAAACAGGTCTTAAATTAATTAAACTGCATGATTGAATTTAAAATTCTAGTAAGTTACTTTAATAAAAAGAATTATCCTATAAGAGCTCATAGTTATTAAATTATAAAGTTAACATGTTCAGTGTAACATAGAATACAAAATTATATAAAGTAAGAATTGGAAGTTTACTAGACCATCTATAGTCCATTCCCCAGAATTAGCCAAGATTAAGTTTTGTAAATGTCTTGCAAACTTCTTTTATTTCTCATTCATTCATTCACTATGATTAAGCACAGAGCTTTTGCAGAGAGCTATATCCAAAGTCCTTTTCAAAAAATTTTTAGTTATCCAGCCTGGACTCAAATTTGCAATTTTCTTCCCTTAGCTACTCAGTGCTAGGATTATAGGCACATGCCACTGGCCCTCGATCCAAACTTCCTTTCTACTGATGCAAGGAAGAAGAGGTGTGTGTTTGTATTCATGTGTAAGGAATACTAAAGGCACTTTTGTTACAGAAGTATTTGCGCAAATTTTGAATGTGTAGAAGACATATAGTATTAGCAGATGAACAATAATGCAAAATTTAACGACATTTTATTTTGTGTTTCCCACAGCTCAGAGTTTGCACATGTACAAACTAAAACATGGAGGAACACAGCTCTTGCTCTCAATTTCCTTTCAATTAATCCATGAGTTTGTTTAAAGTGAAAATGAAAGTGCTCAAACTCCTTAAATATAAACAACTCAACTTTTATTTATTTATTGTCTTTTTCGTTTTTATCGGTACCAGGGATTGAACTCACAACTGCCTGCTTGCAAAGCAGGCGCTTATGCCACTGAGCTAAATCCCCAGCCCCTTCAGTTGTTTTTTTTAAACATGACTGATATTTTTAAAAAAAGAATCCATCCAAGTTTTGTTGAAACTCAAAAAATAGAACTTTCTGTTGAAAAACATCCTTTACATGTAGTGATCCACAAATGTCAAAAAAGAAAAGTACTGCACACTGACTGACCTAGATACTCCTGTCCTTAGATATTCCTGAAAATACACTTTCAGAAACAGGAGTCCGTCAGGAAGAAAGCTCATCCAGTGCTTAGTTTAACACTTTCATTTTACACACAGGAACGCAGACTCATTAAGAACAGTGGCAGCACCAGCCACACCCCACATCTCCTATAGTGCTCCTGGTGCTCAACATCCTAAGAATTTTATTCTCCAGTGGGGTTTTATGTGGTGTCAACGTAAGTTTTTATTTGACCTGAGTGGCCCTTGCCCCCAAATCTAACTCCTTAGAGCCTGTGTGTCTCTGCTACCCTAGAGCTTCCAGGCCTTTCCCCAGCTCCAGGCTCAGTTCCAGTCTCGTCCATGCCCCACACTCCTGCTGGTCATCTCCACTCTACCCCAATCCCGCCCTTCACAGTCAGGCTGAGCACAGTCCTGAGGCTTCATAAAGGGAAATATATGCACACACATTTCCAGATATGGAGCTACCAGCTCTCAGAGATATAGACCATACCATACCTATAGGTACTTTAAGAAGAGCAAAAGGTATGCTTACATTATTAACAATACAAATATGGAAGGACAGACGAGCACTTCCTGGACAAGAACGGAGGAGACCACTGGGTCTGACAGCAGCATACGGTGGAGGCACTCCCATGTACTTTGTGGCATGATACCATCATTTTTAAGACAGATAACAGGAAGTAGGAAGATATTTTTCAAATGGCAAGGGGAACAAGTGCTCAAGAGAGAATGCAGGAGGGGAGAGAAAGGGGAATTTTTAAAAATCGAAAACAAAAATCAAAATAGTGCTTTTGTAAATGTGAAGGGGACCGAGAGATGGGACTAGCAGGGAGTGGCACTGGGTAGGAAACGGAAAAAGAATTATGATGTGCTCTGTGGATGCACCAACTCTCCATAAAAAAGGGAAAACTAATAAAAATAAATAAATATACAAAGACTGGGAGGAAGCACCCGATCCCCAGAAATGATTACACAGCCCCTGTCTTATCTGGGTGCTATATCCACCTAGAGACAGATACGCAGTCCAAGCACATAGCCCAATCACTGGCTAAAAATTAACCTTCACAAGCTGACATAGGAATGCCACTCTTACTTTTGAAAATAATCACAACGATATAACAGAAGTTCAACAAAGACAAAAGTACAAGAGACAAGATGAAGAAAGGTAGTAAAAGGTTCTTTACTTTTCTTTCCCTTCCTTCTGTCTTTCAAGTCACACTCACCTTTTGGCAGCTCTGAGGAACTGCACACTTGTGCGGAATCAGTTTGTGAATTACTGTTTGCTACCTATTGACACTGTCACTTTAAAAAAATAGACTTCACGTTTTAGAGCAGGTTCAACCTCAGAGAAAAATGGAGCAGAAGGCAGAGTTCCTATAGAGTCCCTGTCCCCACACATGTCTATCACCTTTGTCAACACACCCCTGAAGTGGTACCCTTGTTGTACCTGAGGAACTGACCCGGACACCACATTCTCACCTAGAGGCCAGGGTTGACACTGGAGTGCATGCTTAGGGTTGCACATTCTACGCGATGGACAGACACACGACAGGAGTCCACCGTGACAGTAGCAAACGGCAGTTTCACTGCCTTTAAGTCTTTTCTCTACAGTCCTCACTCATAACCCCTGACCGCACTACCTTGTTACCGTCTCCATCCTTTTCCTTTTCCAGCTCATTACACAGTTGAAGTCTTGCAGTTTGTACTTTACCAGATTGGTTTATTTCACTTAGTAACATGCACTGCAGGTTTTGCCCCTTCCTTCCACCTCTGAAGTGCTCTTTTTGTTTTTAGAACTAAACAATCTACCCCAGTCTCAATGTGCAAGTTTATTTGTCAATTGAAGGACGTCCTAGTTGCATTCAAATTTAGACAATTATGAATAAAGCACCTATAAACATTCTAGTGTAGATTTTTGTGTGAACATAAATTTTGAACTTTCGTGGGTAAATATTAAGGAATGTAATCACTGGATTATAACGAAGGAGTATATATAATTTTGTTTAAAAAAACTGCCAAATTACTTTCAAAGATACATTCACTTTATTAAACAATGTCAAGACCTACATAAAAGCAGAGTGAATGACACTTTACATACTGTAAATTGATAAAAATGGGTAGCAGTCTATTTTATTTATATCTAGTTTGTTAGAAACTGTATATTTGCACATCTCCCAAACATTAACAAGATGTTTTATAAATCATGTTTTGTATTGGATTAATATACATATTTAAAAATCAACGGTACGTGTGGTGGTGGCATACACCTATAATGCAGCTGTGTAATAGGCTGAGTCGGGAGCATTGTAAGTATGGGACCAGCCGGGACAATTTAGGAAGACTGTCTCAAAAACAAAATAAAAGAGGCTGGAGACATAGCTCAGTGGCTCCTGGTGATTTGATCCCCTGTGCTTTTTTTAAAAAAGGTTTTTTTTCTTTTGATCACAGAGGCCTCGAGCTATACACCTGGGTAAGGGATAGCCCAGCAGTGGCAGGAGGACACACACATCTTCACCAGCTCTACTGTGAAATGCATGGATATCCCTACCCCAGATGCCATCTCTCAATGTATCCCCAAAGATCCCACCCCCACAAGCTACTAAAGATACTGTATTTCCTTCAATTCTCATCCAAAAATGCCACGAAAGTGGCTTTCTTGGCCCATAACTCTAACCCTTCTCCTGAGAAGCCAAGTCTGGTAAATTGGGGCCTTGCAGAAGTGGCACTGGAGAGACTGCCAAATACCCTGCCATCCCTTCCCTTGTACTCCTTCCCTCCATTTTTTCTACCTCCATACGCTACTTCTCTCTTGCTTCAGCCCAAAGTCTTCAGGTTCATGGACTCATGCAAATTAACTACCAAAGAAACCTATTATTACTGTTGCAGTTGTATCTTCAGTCTGACCTCCATCTAGTTTAGGTGAAACCGATAGTTCAGCTTGTGACCTGGTGGCAGGTTGGTTACCCTGGACCACTTCTATCACGGGAAGGACAGTACCTTATCCTTACTGAATAGAGTACTTCCTGTGGGTACAGATTTGCCTTCTCTACATGTAACGCTTCTGCTAAAACTACTATCCATGGAATTACAGAGTGCCTCATCCATCATCATGGTACGCCACACGACACTGCTTCTGACTAAAGAATGTACTTCATGGCCAAAAAGTGTGACAGTGGACTCATGTTCCCCTCAACCTTATGTTCTGCTGGCCTAAAAGTCTTATTTCCAGCGGGGTAGTCTACAAGAAGGCACAACAATGACTCATGGAACTAGAAACTGAGACTCTTCCCCCACTATTAAGGGATCCTCATGCCTCTGAATCTGAGTCCACAGGTTAAAAAGGAGTTATAGTAATAGTAGAGGGTAAAACTGGACTGCTACCTCACAGTGGAGACAAGAAAAAATATGGAATGCCAGAGATCACACAGGGCATTTCCTAGTATTACCATGCCTTATTACTAAGGTCAGTGGGAAAGTACAACCCAATCCAGGCAGGATGACAAAAGACCAGAACCTTCAAGAATGAAGGGTCCGCCTGCCAGGTAAAGAATCAAAACCCAGTGAGGGACAAAGGAATACAAATAGATAGCTGTAAAAGGAAGTTACAAATACCAGCTATGACCAGTTACAGAAATGAGGACTGTAATCGCAGCAGTTCTTTCCCACTTTGCTCACCTATGAGCATAAATGCTACACACATATATTAATCAGGTCTTTGTTTTCTTTCTTTGTAACATTATGTTGATTAACGAGAGTACTTCAATATTGTTAAATATTTAAGTTACGGAATTTCTGAAGACGTGTCAAATCATGTTAGGCATAATTATGAGATTAGGAATAGTTCAAAGAGCTATGTCTTGTAGTCAAGTGACAAGAGGTAGATTGTGACTTCCAACTGTGATACATCAATGTGCCTGAGTAGGAACTGCCTAGATGGATTGGGAGAGCAAAGGCTGAATGTCTAGATGAGTGGCATGCAGGCAGCAAACTGAGGCTGGGAAAACCCACCCCAGATGTGAGTGGCACCAACCAAGAGCCTGTAGTCTGGGTGGAATAAAGAAAAGCAAGAAGCAGCACGCGTGCCTGTTGTGAAGAACTCCAGCGCCTTTGAGCAGACGCGCTCCTGCTGCCATGCCTTTGTGCAACAGTCTCCAGGTCCTCCAGCCTTCCCACACAGCCGCATACCAGCGGCTCTGAGCCCAGGCCTTTCACCTTGGACAGGCGCTGCATCCTTGATTGCTCTTGTTCCGCAGCTTTCACCTTATTGGGCTGAGCAGCTAGGAGATGTTCTCGTTCTCAGGCCACAGATGGCCACTGGAGACTCACCCTCCTCTGATCCAGTAAACCTACCCAATAAATTGGTTTCTCCAGACACCCCTCACCAATGCACCAGAGAAAAGAGACCTCAGGATGAGTCTTTAATTACTCAAGGCATCTCTGGCCTTGTATGAGGGAGAGGCCACGCCAGCGGCCAAACAGGGCATCCCCCTCACCAACATGTGAAGGACAGAGCAGACTGCCAGGGTGTCCCCCCACCATTACTAAAGGTCAGTCAACTTTTCATTCTTGCTTTTTTCTTAACAGCTCTCACCCTTTATTTGGTTTCCTTTCCATATGATAAAATGCCTGATCTACAATGGAAAAAAAATACAGATATGGCAGGCACTTTCATTCTTTTAAGGTAAATTAGTAATCTGGAAATGGCATGCATTTGTTTCTTATGAATTTACTCAGTGTAACTGAGCCCATGGATCTTGCTAAGGTTCTCCACCAACTGGGCAGGACTCAAAGGCCTGCTGGATCAGTTGTCTCTGATAACAAAGACCCCAAAGTCCTCATGGGACAGCTCTTTCCAGTTCCTCCTTCCAGGGACCATGTGATTTCCTGCTCTATAACTCCTCTTTCCAGTAACAGGGAAGGATCACTTCTATGTGTGATTCATACAAGTTGAGTATCCATTATCAGAATACTTGAGAAATGTGTTGAATTTTTTTTCAGAACATCTGTTTGTAACTGATGAGCTATACTGGGGAGGCTTTGAGCTGTGCTCAAAGCCAGCAAATATTCGGTCTCATGTATACCTTTTTCACACAGCTTGAAGGTCATTTTACCCAATACTTTAAGTGTATCTGCACTTTGGCTGGGATTTGTCACGCGAGACCAGCTGTAAAAATTTCCATTTGCAGTACCTTGTTGGCACTCAAAAACGTCCGTATTTTGGGGCATTTGAGATTTTAGACTGTCAGATTAGGGATGCTCAATCTATACCCTTCACAGCCTGTAGCCCAACCATAGCGCTAAGTTTTCCAGCTATTTCCAATATACTTCACAAATGTCTTCAGCAAATACCTACCATGAAGGTAGTCTTTAAGTCTTTAAGTCTTCTTTAAGTCTTCATCACCTGCCATGAATTTGAGGGAGCCTTGTTACTGTCCTAATAAGCTCTCTCATTAATATCTTCCCATCCTAAGCCTACCCAGAAAGGAAACCTGTTTTCAGGTTGGGCTACCTGAGGTCATCTTGAGAGTTCAGCTTTAAGTTCTCTATCACTACCTTTACTCTTTTACTTTTCTGTTTTCCAGTGCCACAAATCTGACTTAGTCACTTACTCCACAACCTAAAAGAAAAGAGGTTTACTTTGGCTCTTATTTTCATTCTGTAGTC